GGTAACACACTATCCCAGTGTAGTGTCATCGTAATATTTAACAACTTTTCAGGTGAATAATTCTGAGACACAACCCCCAAAACAATACTACTGCTTTACGTGCATTGCCATATTAACATAATACATTATGGTGACAATAAGTCAGGAATGTGCCAAAGGTCTAGAAAACTTAATATAAAGTTGGGAAGGAAGAAGGAGGAAATATGGGATGAGTCTACAATAGGGAGGATGGACCCCTCACCAGGAAAATGGCTGCTGTCCACTCACATTTAGTGAGCTTTGAAAGAGAGTAATGTCTTGTTTCTCTTTCTGCTTTACTCAGATATAGGTTATTCTGGGTTATTTTGAGAAGAAATGCAATAAAAGATATGTTTTGAGAATGGTCATGAACTACTACTGTAAACACAAGTTCACTGTTTGTAAATGGGCTGTGCCACCATTGCCACACATTGGTTTTTACAGTAGGGGTGTTCTGCCTGTTGTAATGAGTTTATCAAGAAACACAGAAGAACTGCTGTTAATATTCACTCATTCGGCTTTCCCCTTCCAATGCTGATCATATACACACTTGTTCTAGTGTTCCTTTTTTTTTTTTTTAAATAATAAATTAAATCAACCAACAGAAAACACTTCATTAATGTGATTAATGGTCTGATTGACACATGGGGCTAATAAAGATGTCTTGAAATTTTGGGGAGTTAGGTATAAATTGAGATGTTAATACGGTGTTCTCGGGCAACAGGAACCTCTGTTTCAATAAAAAATCTGCAGGAAGAAGAGTCCTTGAGGCTAGGCTGCAGCTGGGAAAATAAACAGTGAATACCTAGTCCTTCAGAAGTCAATGCTACTTGTGTATTTAGTTATCGTCTTATCTGCATTCAAAGAAAGACTTCAGAGAAAAATTTCAAATATTAAACATAAATTTCTTCTTTTATGCATCTTGTGATCTGTGTATCTACCCTGCTAACTTAAGTGATATGTGGACTTTGTTACTTACCTCATCATTTAATTACTAGCTTTCCTAAACACTGTAACCTTTTTAAGTGATTTCCGCTGCCCCCCGCCCTTTTTCCATTCTGCCTGTGATCTGTGTAAAAGGGATCCGTTAATGACACTTCAAAAATGTACAATGAAGCAAAAAATAAAACCCTAACCTAGAAGTGTGAGGCATAAAGTTATTTGAGCAAGGTCAGCTCTGTCATAGCACACATCTCGCATATTTATAGCCATATTTATAACCCATATAAAACACAGCTGGAATATCTTTAACTGCACATTTAACTGGAAACTGGGGCAGGAGGCTGTGATTTTCATTATATTAAGGAAATCTTAACTTTAGATCTTTTGGGGTTATTCTTTCCAATATTCCAATATAGGCTAAAATTATTGAAAACTGAGTTCTGGTATAAAAATATAAAGAAAAAGTCTTTAATTTAAGACCATTGCATTACAGAGCTGTACTCTTTCAATTTTACTTCGCAACATGTTAGGTTATTTTGGATGAACAAGTTCTTAACATTAGTACGTTGCCAAACATTTTTTAAATCAGGTGTGATGTGTTCCATAACGAAAAGTAATCTCAGCTCGAAGCTTCAAAGTGCAAGTGTAACAATACTCCTGAAGTCCATTAAAGTAAGGGATTTATGTTGCAATTTTACAGTGATGTGTATTGCTACTCAAAGAGAATATCCTTTTCCTGTCAGAGGTGGAAATGACACTGTGTGTTGTGCTTTACGCAGTGGGTATATGTATGTATCTCCTTTATGCTTTTGCATAGCATGTATGTGACCATAAAGGCAGTCTTAGCAAGGAGTAGGTTCTGCTGAATCTTTCTGCTGTGTTAATTTTCAACTAGATCAGTTCCCTGACTGAATTGTCTGTGTGGCCACGGCAACACTATGGCTGCTACAACTGAGAAGTAATGCTGTGCAAGGGAGGCAGGTGTATCAGCCATTTCAGGGATTTACATTGGTATATACCACTTGTGAAACCATGACCTAGGCAGCAGTCTTGCCATTTATGTGCGTGTTTATGATCCTTTGGCAACCTAACTCACGTCACTATTACTAGCAGGATTTCCTAGCAAAGGAGAAATAAATACCTAAGTTAGATGTGATTAGACTGTATGTCCTGGCCTTGTTAGTTTGTGGTGTTGAATAGTTTACAGCTGTAGTCAGGTATTTTTGCCACTTGTCACCTTTCTCTATGTGCAATGAAAAATGTTGTTAGCTTAGTACCAGCTGATGGATTGTGCAGGCTTCCTCCCATTGAGGAGTTGTCTTGGTTCCATGTACGGGTGAGGAGAGAGCCTGTGTTTGTGTCTGAGGGCAGTGTTGGGGTGGCTTCGATGGGGAGGGGATGTGGATGGCTCTTTTCTTGGGCCATTAGGAGAGAAATAGAATAGATTGTTGTGAGTTTTGGGGAATTCTGTAGTTACTAAATTATTTTATTAAGTAATCAAAATAGATAGATCCTCCTCCTGCTCCAGTGAAACATTGTTTGTCACATCAGTAATGATGCAACAGTGGCCTGACCACAAACTATAAAGTAAAACTTTAATAGTGTAAAATCCTGGGCTACTATGTGCTTTCAGAAATTTCTAATTCCTGCCTCCTTTTCCTCTGTGCATTTCCAGTAAGTAGATTCAGACCTCTTTTTATAATTTGTTGCTGGTTGAAACCCGTTCTTATTTTTATAATCGTAATTCTGGGGTTTTATTTAAATATAAACTGACTTTGTTAAACTCTAGTAAAGTATAAGAAATCCTGATCTCTGAACCCACATTAAAATCGAGTGGGAAGTTAAAAGTAATTGATAGGCGTTAAGATAGTAAATCCTCGAAATCTTTTTTGGTCTACATATTTATTTATTTTAAAAGACATTTCAGGGAATGTTGGATTATAAACTTTGAGATCAACAAAGACGTTTTAGGTGTGTTGGTGCAGGTATACGGGAGGCCCCCAGCTGATTCCTTGTTGCTTGCTCTCTTGTTGCTGTCTGTGCCTGCGCGCTGTGGCTGTAAAGTGCTCCTGCTGGGGTTTGTATGGATGGTTGCATTGCACAGGTGTACAGTGAAATGGAGTGGAAAATTGTGCTGCTTGACTTTAGGGAAGGCCAAAACCAAACATGCTGTCAACCTTTGTACAGCAATAAAGGTTTACGGTTGGGTTAATGAGCAGCTTTTTTAAACCATAAATTACAGTTTCTTCATATGTATGATAAAATAAGAGAAGTGTTTTGCTCTTGCTGATTTCATAATGCACAGGTGCGTAGCATCACTTTTAGAAACTTACAAGTATTTTCAAGCCTTTTTTTTATAGTAATAATATATTTCTACAGATGGAAATAGCTAATGTTAAGGAAGAATATTTTAGAATTCTAAGTGTTTTACATTTAAGTGATTCTAGGTATCATGGCACTGTTTGTTTGTTTTTAATAGGATGCTAATCTGATTTAACCTTTCTAAGCTACATGACACCATCGTTATGGTGAATAAAAAGCCATAGTTCCCTGTAGACTAATAAAAACCTATGTTCCTAGGTAATTGAGTTTCCAGATAATGTTTCAAGCTCACATTATTTCTGCTCGTGTCAACTTACTCATTCATTTTATTGAAAAGAATTATGTTTCTCCCAAGGCAGCCTATTGTCCTGTCTAGCTGATGTTTTTTTCTGGTGCATGGTATGGTCACAGGTGTGAGGGAACAAAAGCTGTTAAGTAAGAGTAAATAAGTAGCATAGGGAATACCCTTTAGCAGTTGACAGGAATACTAGTAATTCACTGAAAAGTGGAAAACTTAAACTCTGTGGATTTCAGGATAGCTGAATCTTGTCTTTTACAAGAAAAGCAACCATCTAAACACATGGTAAAGAAACCATGAATTACCTTCATACAAGAAAGCAATGCAGAACTAAATGTCTCTGGCATGCCAAGTGGTGTTGTGATGGGCTGTGCTACTTTTGATCTGAGAAAAATCTTACTTTTTCTTTTCTAAGGAGATTGAATATTTTGGAGGGGATTTGCTTGTTTGTTTATTTATTGTTCTAGAGATTTTTTTTAATAATTATGATGCTTTTAGATATTAACCACAATGAACATCCACAATTTAAGATTTCTAAAATCTGAAACCTGCATATGGCATCTTAAAAAGAGTGGCTGCTTGTTTAGCTGCATATTTCAAATCCACTTCCAACAGAAATATCAATAATCTCCAGAAATTAAAAAACAGTATTGCTAGTCTTACAATATACAGATTTCTTTAGCATCAGCAGATAGATTTAAATTATCTGAATTTTTAATGCGTTTCCAGTTGCAACAAAAATAGATTACTTAGAAGAGCACAAAAGAAAAGAATGTGTGTTTGCTTTATGTCTCTTAAAATACTTAAAGCGAGGAGAAATACAGCCTGGATTTAGTAAAGATAAAGGGAGCGTTCAAGCTACTTACTTATGGCAAATGGATTTAATAGTTTAAAATCTTCCCAACTAATGCACATAGCGTGGAATCCTATTTATAGGATTTGTTTTCCATACTTTCTGTGTGCTGTTAAATTCTGCTGTTTCTCAGCATGCTATTTATGTTTTATGTTGATCAACCAAAAATCTATTGGGTGTACTCAATTATACACTCTTGTCGAATATGTATTGTCCAAATCTATGACTGTAAATATATGATATGCTAAAACACTTGGTAGCAATATACAAGGCTACTTACAGTATGGAAGAACGGAGAAATGCCAAATGTGTCTATACAAAATATATACCGCCAGTATGTTCTTTTGGAGATAATGGCAGTTGTATTTCTAAATGCTAGATAGATATAGTAACACTTTTTGTAATAAAAGATAATAGTCTTCATCATCACTAAGAAATAGTTGAGGATTTATAGGTGGGTAAATCAGCATTTCAGTTCATGTTTTAAAACATGGTAGCCTCAAAATTAAATCCAGTAAAACTGGACTGAAGTTTGTGTTAACTGGAATTCCGTGTGTTATCTCCTAGGAGGAACAGGCTGCTAAACTCAAAGCTGAGAAGATTAGAGTTGCATTAGAGAAGATTAAGGAGGCACAAGTGAAAAAGGTAAGTTGTTTATACTGGTTTGAAAGATACCTATTCACCTGGAAAACGCAGGCAAAATTCTTCTCATTTGTGTCTATTACCCTTAAGTTGCCCTAAATAAAATAGGAACACTGTAGTGTTCTGATCTTGAGTGATAATGTACTTTCTCATCTAGACTGGACCTAATGAAGAAAATTTTAGCATATGGAATAACATTATGTTTTTCTTAAGGAATAGCTTATTTTCCAGCTAGTGCACATTGAGAAGACTGTCAACTTCCACCCAGAGCTGAAATGAAGGTCCAGCCTCCCGAGGTTGTTTTTGTATATTAAGCAGTCACACATTTAAAATTTGGGTCTGTTTACTTTACAGACCCCTTCCCATTATGCATAGCAGGATTTTCCAGGGATAAATGAAATAGAAGCATTCCAGACTACAAACAGGGGTTACCAAGTGGAGAACGTCTACTGACATTACTTGATGCACTATCAAAGAATATAAAGTGTTCCCTTGAAATTTAGTATTCTTATTTTATGTTTGGAGTTTTTCAGTTGCTTAAAATGCCTTTTACATTTAGTGTTTATATATCAAAAAGCTGAAAACCTGTCCTGGCTGGAAGATGGGCATTAACAAGCCAACCAGTGTATTACGACCAGTATGTTTTAACTTTTCCATCTGAACAAAGTATAAAAAAGGTAGCATAATGATTGGCAAGAAGAATCTATTGTCTTAAGTTTTTTGATTGGTTAAAAAAAAGGCTGCATTTTTCTTTCTGGACAGTGACCTTTTTAAAGTGCCTATGAAAAGCCATTGTGTTTTAAAAGCAGATTTCATTCGCACTAATCGTTGATACTCTCCAGAAAAAGAAGATTTAATATAGGTATATTGTTTACATAATCAGCATTTTTAGAAAATATGGAGGAAGCGGACAGAAAGCTTGAATTGCAAATCTGAAAAATTCTGATTCTATATAAGGTTGTGCAGAACTCTGTATCTATGTTTGTTCCACCTAGATATGTGAGAAAAATTGTCACAAAGACATTTTATTAATCAGAACAGGACAGTTTGGCAGGAGATTTTTTTTTCCCTTCTTAACACATAGCTAAAGCACATTGTTGTTGTATTGGGAAGACCTTTATATTTACTGTCTTTTACTCAAGGAGAACAGTATCTGGTTAAGTGTCAGCAATACAAATATCTAACCATCCTTTATGGCTTTTTACATTTTGAGGGAGTGTTTTGATTGAACTTAATATTTTATGCTATTGTATCAAAATGTTAGAAAAAGAAACAAGATCTTAAAAACCATGTTTTTATTTGAAATGTGGGAAATTAATTCTTCATCTTGTTTTCCTAATTTTCCTGCTTAATAGTTGGTGATCAGAGTCCACATGTCTGATGACAGCTCAAAAACAATGATGGTGGATGAGAGGCAGACAGTGAGACAAGTATTAGACAATCTGATGGACAAATCGCATTGCGGTTACAGTTTAGACTGGTCATTGGTGGAAACCATCTCTGAATTGCAAATGGGTAAGTAATAATTATAAACATTTATAATTTGTATCTATTGATGTAATACTGGTCTATATCAGTGTGCTCAGAATGATTTAAATTCTTGTCTTCATAATGTTCATCATCCTGTTCATTCATGTAGCAAATGTTAGTTCGTGTAGTGAATGTTCATTCATGTAATAAAGCTCGTGAATAACGTTGTTTCAGAATGATCTGGAAATGTTTTCTTCTTTCATATCAAAAGAACGTCTAAATTCTAAGGTGTGATGTAGGAATTTTACTAATGTCTAGTCACTGAGCCTCTTGGTTTTGGTGTGTTCCTCACAGAAGAAAGAGGTAAGGGATAAAAAACTCACCATGCATGTTCCTCTTGTGAATAATATTTTGTACTGATCCTAATAGCTCTTACTACAAAAAGCTGTCTACGTTTTGTTTCTGTTAAATATTTTAATGCAATTGGCAATATGCCTCTAAAGGCAATTAAAGCTCCTTTGCGCTGCATTGCACATACCACAATGTAAGTTGTTCATTTAGCCAAAGGATATAGCATCTGAATGGAAAGGAAGGGGAAAAATGGTAGAAAACCAAATTGTTAGTCTCCATTATCAAAAGAATTACATCGAAGAGCTGTTAAGCACCTTACCCGTTGACTTAAGAAAAGCCCAGAACTGAACCCAAATATCTTGATTTCAAATTAAAATGCAAATTAATATTTCCTCTCTCTTTTGGTGAAACCTTTTCTATTTCAGGCAGTGTAGCATGTTAACTTTGCTTATTGTTAAACAAAAAAGGCCATTGTAGGGTGACAAGGTATCCTTTGAATCTTCTACTTTTCATATGAAAAATAACATCTTAATAGGCTCAAAACTGTGAAATTTTAATAAATGAAATCTTAAAAGTTGCCCAATTTTGAAACCAGAAAGAATTTGCACAAATTCTATGTAAATCCAAATTAGGTATATAAAAATCAAAGGTGTAATTCTGTAACATTTTACCAATGAGAAGAGTATGGATAAATAACCTTATTAGTTCTGAAATAGTTTTATGTTTCTACCACTGAAAAATCTCTAAATGTGTAGGTCGCAGGAACCTGAACTCAAGGCTCAACCAGGGGTATTTCCCATCCTAGATTTGCTTTCATAAGACACTTCCATTCACTGTGCAGCCTGGAAAGAATAAATGAAAAAAATACTGGAAAAAATATTTTCAACTTCTGTTAGAAACAAAGAGCTGGGCTGCGGACAGAAAGATAAACTGGTATTTAGCCAAATTAAGAGTGTGACTGAATTAAGATTATTTTGAAATGAAACCAGGGTTAACAAATCTCTCTTGTTGGGTGTTTTGCAAGTATATTCATGCCCTGCTGCATGGGCTCAGTGACATACTGGGAATGACAGAGTTTGACTGCTGTATTGAAAGAGTTTCAAGCTAAAGAACATCATCTTTATAATTACAGAATTTTAAATTCAGACTACAACATGATAAACCTAAGACAGATGGAAGAGGGTAGAATTCAGTTTCCTTTTTCATTTTTCAGTTTGGCTTTCCTTGATCCTTGGTAGGGCAACTGTTAGATAGTTTTTTATAGATTTCACATATGTGTTTTTTTAAAAAGACAATCCAAAACGCAGCCTGTTTGATTCATATATTTTATACTGGAACTTGAAAAAACAGATGAAAAAATGATTACAGCAAAGCCCTCATCCTATGTACTATTGTGTATTGTATTGTGTTGTTTTGCCAGTGGTTCATCTTTTGAAATGTTTTTATTCTGGCAATGCCTATGTAAGAGGAAGGAGCTCCTTTATTATAATATTTTCCTTTAGTGAGACACAGACCACCTATGTACCTTCACAGTGTATTTTACCATGTTGTCTTGTCAGTTGGTTGCTCATGAATTGCGCAGTTCGATAAAATGCAGTGAAAGCTTTAAGCTAACAAACTGCAGAGAAAGACATGAGGCCTGCGGAGTTCCCAATTGTCTCTGCATTTTATGTGGTCTGCTTCAAATGTGTGTGGTTAACAAGTTTTTGAGGAGTCTGATTTAGGTACGTGTACTTGAAGTAGAAGGCCACCTGTTACTATCTAATGGTTTAACCAGGGGCTTTATGTGTACTTTCAGAAGAACTCAGTGATATTATTTCCAGAATGGAGAATGAAATGCTTTGCCCAGTTTTACCCTGCAAGCTTGTAACAGAAACAACTCTGGAAGGTTTCTTTTGGTTGGGACAAAGGTTGTTTTCGTTTTTTTAGTTAGAGCAGAGTACATCTGTGAAGTATCTGTGAGTTACAATGTTTCCATTTTAGAGAGTATGTTTCATAATAGGAACATTGCATTATGTGCAGTTTTACATACTGTAGGTACATACACTCCCAATAAGTTTCATGTTTGAGTTGTTATTGTAGTAAGAGTTGATATGTTTTGAAAGCTATCCAGTTTCACTAATGAGGCTGCAGTGAGATTTAAGCTTTTATATCACAGTCCTCTGAAGTTTTTTTGTTGTGTTCTTATGTTGGGTGACACTTTTTTTTACTTTCTTGGAGGACAGTATTTCTGTTGTTGCTGGTAAAGCTTGATGGAAGTTGTAACTCGAAAGCTTCTTAGAAAGATCTCACTGAGACCTCAGTAATGTTGTGTTGTCACCTCAAACCTTAATTTGTTCCCCACAGATGTTGCATTCACTCTGCTTAGTATTCCTAATTACCAAAGGTGTTGAGATGTCATCTGTCATCTCAGTCTTCGTTAGAGATAGCTCCTAGGTCCGGATGTGATCAGTGCTGTATACCCTCTGTAAAAATGGGTGTGGTGCAATTGATTTTGTGGAAAAAAACATGTTCTGCTTTCAGATGCAATTGAAAGGTCAAGCAAGTCCCAAAGGATTCTGAAAGAAATAGTTTGCTGAAATGCCACTGTGTGGCCTATTTGTGGGAACAAATTGCAGAAAGCAGGATTCTACTTCAGTGTCTTAGAAAGGAGGAGAAAATTGATCTAGTGGTTTCCCAAAGATGGGTTTTCAGATATTTCAGTACATTTTCCTCTTTTTTCTTCCTCTCTTCTCTTTTGCCTATTTTCAGTATCTTATACTAATGATAACTATTTCACCAGAGAGTCAAAGCTCAGAATTCTCAGAAGCCATTGTTGCTACATCATTTATTTAGCAGGATAGATTGTAAGAAATAGACAGATATATTCTGCATTTCGGAAACATTTTGTTTTCTCTCTGATCATTGTCTATTACTTTTTTTGATACTTTACGAGTGAGATAGTGATTGGGGATGTAGAAACAAATTTTGTGCTGAAAAAGCTGCCTAATAAATTCCTTCGGGGATTGCGTGGACCGGAGTACATATAAATGTGATAACCTTCTTATTTGTGCTCCTAACATTTGAAATGTTGTCATTTGAGTCTGCTCTGTTCATGTGGGATGGTAGGCTTTGTCAGCTAAAAAAAAGAAAAACTCTTCATATATTGATGGAACTAGAAGCCTGAAGAGATGGAAGTGAGAGTGTTGAGTGACTGTATGTGTAAGATGAAACCCGGCACGTCTGAAAGTTGACTAAGTTCTTTTAGCTTCTTAGTGTAAACTTATTCCCCGTTTTAGTAGACCTTGGACTCTATTTTCTCTGCGTATATGCCTTGTCTCCCAAGTATGACTACAGAGTAGTTTCTATCACAAAATGTGACAGATTCGAATGTATTTGCTCTCTTGTTATTGCTGCAGAAAGGATCTTTGAAGATCATGAAAATTTAGTTGAAAATCTTCTGAACTGGACAAGAGATAGTCAAAACAAACTAATGTTTGTGGAACGTATAGAGAAATACGCACTTTTCAAGAATCCCCAGGTAAGCCTGAGATTCATGTTGAGTACGTGTGTGTGTGCACACATGCATGCCTGATTGCAGTTTCTTACTTTTTTTGGTAGTGTTCATTTCTGTGCTTTTATTTTCATACTTGTGTATGTATTAAAATGCCAGGCAACTTTACATTTCAGCACCACGTACATCCACATTGTGGTTGGCTCAAAATCAAGTCCCTAGCAGAAAGCCACGAGCTGAAGCAATCTGTCTGCTCATTTGTTTGTGGGTAATTTTAATGGAGATGAAGGCAAGCAGTTTCATGGCATTTACACCAATACTTAGTGCTGTTCAAATGTAAATATGTAAGAAAGGTGTTGACAGATATTGCTAATAGTAATGCCTCTCTACTGTGCATTCTTAAGTTGCTGGCAAGAAGGGGAAGAGAAAAGCTAAGAGAATAGCTACTCCATGGTGAAATGGCAAGTGACAAGAAGAGACCATGTGTCCCTCCTGGGACCTGCCTCTATTCACCTGTGTTTCCTGTTCCCCGGCTAGGAAACCAAAGGCCCCTCTTCTCTCTCAAATGGCCTCGAAGGCCTCTCTCCTCTCGAATGGTAGCTACGGATTTGATATCTGGCAGCAGTTCATTATTGTAAGGGAGTAGAAGAAAAGAAACAGAAAAGCAGAAGGTGGCTCTTTGAAGAATTTGAATTAAAAAGAACTGGATATAATATCACTTGATCTGTCTCCCTTTTGGGGTCATAGATTATTTTTATATCTGTATGGCATCTATGTGCTAATTTTTTGGATTTAAACTGAGTATCAGTTTGCATGCTCATCCTTTTGAGACACCATCAGTGTACTACTTTTTTTTTTTTTTTTTAAAAGCAAGAACTGAAAACTAGGTCTTATTCAAGTGCTTTGCAATGAGGCAGCAAAGCTAAATTCTTTTTAAAAGCATGTAGTTGATGCATTTGCTATCAGTACATATGGGAGATACTGTCAACAAGAATGAGGTACCAGCATAAAACCAATATTTCTCCTTGGTTTAAAACATGGAACTGGCTAAAGTTTGTGTATATTGTTTTTTTCCAGTATAAGAGCTAGGGATTAGGAAGAGGAAGATTTTCATTGTCCCAGTCCTTTCCAAGCTGAAGAAGAGTACAAAACTTCTTATTAAATAAGATACAGTACCTATGCATAGTTAGGTTCCTTTTAAGAAGACAAGGAGTATTTTGTAATTCTTTGTGAATAATAAATGTTTTTATTCAGCAAAACTGTCAGGGCAAGGTGGAAAGAAGTACGTTGCTTCTGTGTGTGCTTCTTTGAACGCATAAATGACAGCAGTATGTAACAAGTTTAAAGATCTCTGGGGCTTTTTTATATTTTTATTGTGGGATTTTCAAGTTCATAGTATTTTTATTTCTGGGTGCATTGTACCAGGCAGTTTGTTTTGTGGAAAGCAGGGACAATGTTGTTTGAGGTTGTTACTTAAGATAAGAGTATGGACTGATTGATATTTCTGGAAAAGGTGGTTATAACTTAGTTCCAGGTATTATTTAGCAGTCTGACCAATAGTTTCAGTTGGACTACAAAGTTTTGTTCAATTAATGTATTATACTTAGATAATAGGTGGGGGTTTTTAATGCTACAGAAAGATAAATGAGAAATGTTATTTGGCTTGATTTCCAAATGCCTATAGAAATATTAAGCTTTCTCTTTTTACAGAACTACCTTCTGGGGAAGAAAGAAACCTCTGAGATGGCAGACAGAAATAAGGAGGTGCTGCTAGAGGTAAGACTGCCAAAACAAAAAGGCCATAGTGGTCATTTCGGAGTTTGAAGCTAAACTCTAAAAGGTTGTGGTGATTGAAATTGATGGAGGGAGCTGAATGTAGTTCTGGAACAACTGTGAATGGAACGTGTTACATTTGAGATAAATGGCTATTTTGACGTTCCCCTGTTTCAGATACGATCAGTTAATAAAAAGGTGCCTTTATTTTGTTTAATAACTAAAATTCCATACACAGTGATAATCAAAATGAGCTTACCTGTATCTGTGGCTAAAAACAGTCAAAATTTGCAGAACTGTCACCTGTTTTTTTGACCTGTGGTGGTAGAGATTTTTTTTACTAGTGCTCTCCAAATGGTTATTCTCTACAAAATTCTATAGCATTGGTTCAGTGACTGGTCTATGTTAATATTTTAAATTTTGTTAATAAGCAAAGTAGTTAAAAATTGTTTCAGTTACGTTTCAAAATAAACAACCAAATATTAAATTTTAAAAATGAGTGACAAGAAAAGGAAGTAAATTAATATCGAACACATTAAATAGTTTACAGAACTAAGGACAACAAAAAAAATGTGTGGAGCAAATAAAGCAAACAGTAAACATAGCCTCCATAAGCTGAAAACTGAATGGTTTTGTGACATTTTTGTAGAGACATACCCCATGCTGAAGTGTCATAGCTTCCACTTGATTTCCAGAATAATGATTATGATTTCAATAGTTGCACAAAAGTAAATAGTTTTGGTATATAATTTTGGATTATACTTAATACAATTTAACTTATAAGTGGCATATGCATGCTCTTAGTATATTATTAATAGGGGTTTTAATAAGTGGTCATGTGAATACTGTGGATCAAAAAGATGCTTGAAGCCATGACATGCAGAGGGTTGTAATTCTATCTAATTCTTTCTGTCTTCTAGGATTACTCATAAATCTCTGTGCTGCATATTAATCTGGAGTGTATTTAAAGCATTTGTTTTCCTTTGTTAGCGCTTTATAAATAGGACCTTAACAGAAGTTGTAGTGTTGGCAGTTAGTAGCAACAAAGTACTCATGGAATGAATTATAGCTGTATCTGATGGGTATGTAATTGGGTTTTGTGTATACTTAGACTTATGAGGCTACATCTATAAGGTGACCTTGTGACTTTAAAGCCAGTAAAGCCATTGGGGGATCTATTACTGATAAGCGGTGGTTAGAAAATCTTTACAGTAGCTGCTAATATTATTGTTGTCATTCTTGCACTGAGAAAATGCTAAGATCGTCCCCTATTGTGTTTGTCTGAATTCCCTTATAGCTTCTACAATTAATCTCTAATTCATATTACTGCATGAAAAAAAGAGCTGTCCCTGTTATGTGTGCATTCCCGAGATAAAGAATTTCAGTCATTAAATTCTGTATGCTGTATACTGCATACTGTATGTTCTGTCTCTTTCTCTCTTCCCAAACCACTGTGTTTGTTGGCAGGAATGTTTCTGTGGAAGTTCTGTAACCGTGCCAGAGATTGAGGGAGTTTTGTGGCTGAAAGAGGATGGTAAGAAGTCTTGGAAGAAACGTTACTTTCTTCTTCGAGCTTCTGGAATCTACTATGTCCCTAAAGGGAAGGCAAAGGTATGCTATTGTAAAGCAATTTCCCTGAATTGTTTATTACTGCTAAATCATGCACACAAGAGTCAGCCTAAAATTTTGGCTTAGCTGTGCCTTGCTTAGTGCCACATACATTAATTAAAAGTGCAGCTTTATCATGGAAATATTGTGTAAATTACTGTGGTGTAATCACTCTTGATGTGAAGGGTGTAACCCCAAATTTAAAAATACAAGATGACAAGGGTCTGCTTTTTGAGTGAGCTCAGGGTTAGGTGTTCAGAAACACTTGAGGAAAAATGACTGGTGGAGTTAAGAGGCTGTCTTTTCTCAAGCAGAATTCAGATGAAGGACCAAATTGCACTGCAAATGCCAATCGTAAAATACCAGACCAACCCCACAATTAGTCTGCATAATTTTATTGGTTTTAGTTAGTTGATATAAATGGGATTTTTTTCAGACCAATTTGTGCTATGTTTTTTGAAACTGGTAAACATAATGCCATTTCTTCAGTGTCACTTACTGCTGTTCTGTGTGTACCAATAATGAAAAGTAAATAGAAAGCTGCTACAAATGCATTATAGCTTCAAGGCTGTACTACTGTGAGTTCAAGTTGTCCATGAATCCATAACTCTTGACAGCATCAACTGATCCCCACACAGCTCCAATGAAGAGGAAATCTCTGTTGGCACATCAGCTCCCTTTAGAGCTGAATACATCTCAGATATTCTTTCCACAGCCTTTTGCTTCATTAAAACAATCTGTATGCACGATAGCCTGTTGAAATTCTGTGCCCTACAATCACTGCCAAACATCATTAGAATTATACTCATGGTCCCACTGGAATTTGGACACCTTGGTTATTACCAAGATGAAACGTAACCAGCAGCTGTAAAAAAGTTCCTGGTCAACCAATCCTATTTACTTTCTCCTGATACCAATTCTGAATAAACAGTAGTAGTCTGGTGTAAAATGTTGTCAAAAGGTAAAATGCAGACAAAACACAAAAAACCAGACTGAATTTGAAAAAGGATATCCTGGTTAAAAATGAACGTCTGATGCAAGAGTTTATGCATGGTTGTGTCTCATTCTTGTATTGGTAGTTTTCAAATCAGATTGAAACTATTATTAGACCTTAACTAGACCTTATATTAGTATTGGATATTAACACTAGACTGATTTTTGTCAATGTGTGTGGTTTTTTAATAAAGATATTTTGTAAATTATTATTTTTGTATTTAATAGGTCTCGCGGGATCTTGTGTGCTTTCTACAGCTGGATCATGTCAATGTTTACTACGGGCAGGACTATCGGAACAAATACAAAGCACCCACAGACTATTGTTTAGTGCTAAAGGTAACTTGTTAATTGTTTTAAAAATTCTCGTACTGAAAAGAGCAATTAAAGAGCTTGAAACATTTCCATACTAATCTTAGTCCCTTATAATAACTACACTTCCTAATTGTGAGCAAGAGCTGATTAACACAATATTAATCTTGGCAGAGATTATAATTTAGAAAACACTTCCTATAGTAATATAACAATTGGAAAACTATGCCTGTCAGTTTTCTAGATTATTTTCATTCTGCACATGAGAAATCTAAATTGCCTTAGTTCTTGTCTAGGAAGTGAACAGTTAGTGAACAATTGTTGCCTGTTTTCCGTGTTCCTCATAACTTTGTAAGCATCTTCATATTACCCTGAATTGTCTTGCTTCCAGACTGATGAGTCCCAATCTATTTAATTGTTCATCGTACTCTAAAACGTAACATTAAACTCTCTTTGTCCCTTGGCAACTCTATACCTTACAACAATTCAGGTTCAGTGAGATATAATACCCCTTGAAACAGTGTCTTCCAGAGTTGTGCAGAACTTGGTAGTAGAGAGTCAAGTCTGCACATATTTTCCAACCTGAGGGAAAGGGGATGCTGTAAAGGAAGAAACTTCTGAGTATAAAGGACAGGTAGAAAGAACAAGTAGAAAAAAATGTTATGAAAGCAGTGACCTCATCTTAAACCGTGAGATTAATAACTTGAGTACTTGAAGTTATTTTAAATTGCATCAACTCATCTCCCAGTCTCTCTTGACTCCCACACAATGTTCAAAATGTGTCTGCTCCTGCAAGATAGCTAGCTACAAATCTATTTTAAAACAAGTTTTCACAGTACATTCATAGCAAGTTTAGTGCCCTCATGGGTTTGAAAATGGTGCAAGTAACAAGAGATGGTTATAGTTGCACTTAGACTTTTCCTTTGACCTCTTACCTTCCCTGATTTGTAGCTCATGTGGTGTTGCATATGTCAGTACGTTAGAATGCTTATGCGCCTGGAGTGCGTGGCTGCCTGTCCACTGTGAAAAAAGGATTTCATCTTCCATTAGACAGGGCAACATGCATTTGGGCCCACTGAGAGGTAGACACTGAATATCAAATATGGGACATGATATTAAGGGAGAAAGCATACAGCTGAAACAGGAAATATTTTCCATGTTCTTATAGGTCATTGGCGCAGTTAATTGAATGCAGTTAAAAGCAAAAATGACAGTGTTTGTAGGTATTTATAAATTCCTTGAAGTAAATTGATTTCTTCTGCTTACGTGTGACTTTCTGTCCGCGTCATTTGGACAGGTTAATAGTGAATTATTTTTTCAGACTTGCTGACCACACGGAGTAAACTAGACTAAGTCTTACCTAAGTAGATTTTTTTTTTTTAAGTATTGCCATTCTGAGCAAAATGAAGACATGAAAATGTTAAAGTCAAATTTCAATGTGTCTAAGTTGTCCCTTATTGGGTTATTTAAGTAAATTAATGGGGTAGAGTTAGTCGGGTAACTTAGACAAAGTGAAGCTGTGTTCTCCGTGTGGAACTGATGAATCATGAAATCACTATATTAAGCAGGATTGAGTTCTGCTTTCCTCAATTCTTAGAATGTTACATCAATGTTTTATATTAGTACCAATGTATAGAAGCCATACAGGTTTTTTTAATAGAAACTCAGTTTTGTGCCACAAAAATTCACTAAGCTGGGAAACAGCTCCAAAACTTGGAACATGTTTTTGTAGAGGTGAATGGCAAATACAAACTCAAAGGCCGATTCTCACTGAAGTCAAGAATGGATTTGTCTTTACATGTTTGCTTCCTTTGTTTAACTTGAACCTTACTGTGCAAGACAGGTACTGTGCTATTGTTAAATATAATGTTTGTATGCTAGTATATAATACTAGCTCCTTGATCCTAAACGTTAGGTTTCTGAGAGGTTCTTTTATTCTATATAGCCAAATTTTTGAACAAGTGCAGGAAGAAGATGGCTTGTTAGCGAAGTAATTTTTTTGTGCTTCTATAGACTTTTCTTTGTTATGGAACGTGTATGTGAAAGAGGGTGGTAGTGAAAAATGAACACAATTATCTAATATCATAATGAATTTAGTCATATATATTCTGTTTATGGAGATAAACATGTTCATGTTCATTTTGAAATAATGATGTTTGGAAGACAACAGGAGAAAATATTCTGAAAAGAGATTAAAAGTTCTTTGATACATGTTTCAGATAGTCTTCAGTAAAACTTAAATACCTACCATCATCTAGCAAAACTGTGTCGCTGAACTGTAAGCTAACAGAGGAATTTATAAGAACTTTAGTATCCAGAGTTGCCCCGACAGCTATGAGACATAACTTCTATAGCATGGAGAGGAAACAACTGAATAATCCATCCAGAATGATTTCTAGTGTCCAACTTTTGAAAAATATACATCTCTCTTTTGACCGCTGAATTGATAAATACAGCACCTTTTTTATGCATGCACGTGGGAGCGGCAAGTATTGTATATGATAGCCCTGTATCAGTAGGGTGGGGACCTTGAAGGCTCTACAAGCTGGAAATGGAATTGTGCTTAAGAGCGTGCAATTTGTGGAGTGTCTCACTCAAGCCATACGAAAGCAGAGAAGACGAGTGTGTTTGTTTTCCTCCAGTTTGTTTTGGTGTGAGAGGAAGGTGAAATATTAGTTGTCTCCCTCAGGTGGTGAGTTAGTCTGTAGAGCGGTGAAAGGAGACGACTCTTTACTCTTTGGCAGTCTCTTGCTTGTGTTTAGGAAAGGTTTTTAAAAGCTGAGACTGTTCTGACCACTTGGCTTGAGTGTATGAAGATTTCTAAAGAGCTTTACAGGTACAGAAGACTCTGTTGGTAAGTGGAAGGTACAGCACTAAAATGCTGAAAGATTCACCCTTTCTTAGTGTTTCAAATCTGAAATGAGTGTCCACTGGACACACTGCCAATCTGTGTGTGAGGCAATCCCCACTGTCACCTCCTGAAATACTCTCAAACATTTTTAAGTGGGCTCAAAATACAGACGACTATTGAAGAGCTTCCAGCATTAAGTTTGCCTGTATAGACCTCAACAGATAAATGGCTTTCCTTGCATTCCTAGCTATTAAAATATTCATGAGGATTAACAATTTTTCTGCAGCATCCGCAGATCCAGAAGAAATCCCAGTATATAAAGTATCTTTGCTGTGATGATGTAAGAACTCTACACCAATGGATCAATGGCATCCGCATTGCTAAGGTAACCTCCTGTAGGCAGTCTTGCACCATTGTTATGAGTTGTTGTCATTATCTGTTTGAAACCATTTACAGTTACTTAGCAAAATACATGCTAAATCTAACTTCCCTCTGTTTAACCATTCTGAACAAGAACTGTACAATCTGCTTATATATTTCATTCCCTAGCGAAATTGTTAGGCTTTGTTGTTATGATAATTCAGTAATTGGGCCCTTTCTTCTTGTTTCTGCTCCACCTCTTTGTCACATGGCGAAGTTCTAACTGACATCGTGGCTAGGTTTTAGCCAGCTCCCTTACAGATTTTAAAAAGAAGCATTATGGGAAAAAAAGAGAATTGAGAAAACAATTGTTTTCTAAGATCCCCAGGTTGGCTTAGTTTATTCATTGGCCCATTTCTTGCTTGACACTATCTCTTCTAGCATAAGAGAACTGTTTGTCCTTCTTTCAGCAATTCACTAATAAAAAGTCAAAAGGTTGGGGGAAGGGAGCTGCCACTTTTGTTAAATGAAACTAAATGAAATTTGCGCTGAATTAATGTTGCCTGAGCTCCTTAACAAAGAGCCTGTTGTTTCTCTCTGGGGGAAAAAAAGGTGGAATAGAGAAGCCAGAGGTGGAGCTCAACAGTGAAAAGGGTACCCAGTCTATACAGTTGTTAAATATGTTTGTCATTTTGCTTAGTATGGGAAGCAGCTATACATGAACTATCAGGAAGCACTGAAGAGAACAGAATCGGCATATGACTGGACTTCCTTGTCTAGCTCCAGTATCAAGTCAGGCTCCAGCTCATCTAGTTTGCCAGGTAATAATGTGATCTGTCTCATAATAGAAAGATTTAATTACCTTTTTTATCGTCTGCTATCTGGAGACCTCAGGAGAGACTACTGCAGGAAATGGACTGTTCCTCCAAAGTCTTCTATGCTATGTTTAGTCTAAAACATAGACTTTATGTTTGCCATATATATATATATAAAAAAACATATAAACCCCTATTTTATTATATTACTTGCAGTGGTGTATGTATTTGGAACATATAGTACTTTCTTGTTCACCTCCAAAAAAAGAATGTTTTTCTGATACTGAGAAGAGGAAACTTCCTTTCAAATTCCTGATGCCTCTATCTTCACCTACCTGAAAAAAAGAAATCAAATCTGTTCTAATGATGCATAGAGACTTGTGTGTGTAGCTCTTAAACTGCTTTTGTTGACTGAAATATTTGAAATTGGAAAATGAGAAATAGTCCCTCCCAAAGGCAAAGATCCAAACAATCTCTTTAGAGACAAACTTGGAAAGTACTGTTTCTGTTCCTGTGTCAAACTGTGTGTGCCTGCAGTAATATGCTCCTGTTTGTCTCTCAGCAGGACTGGGACTCTTTTTTTGTAGCACATAACAGTTTAAAAATTGATGAATGGTTTATATAGTCTCATTTCACTGTTCAGAGCTGACTGATGCTCTGCCAGGTTATTCTGAACCCTCAGGGGCAAGTTTCATTATTGAAAACAGGTTATTGTGTGAAAGTGTTTTGTCCATCGCAGATACAGGTCAGGAAGTAATGCTACTGAATTGGAAAGGTTCAGAAAGTAGCCTGTGAGAATGAGCTAAGCAAATGCAGCCTAACTGGGAAGGCACCATGTTTTTTCAACTGTGTGGAACAGCTTGCCGGGCGTAGTGGTAAATTCCCAGTTACTGACAATTTCTCCATCCAAGCTGGGTGTTTTTCTGATAAAGTTTCTCTTGTTGTGGGGAGCTGAGCCACAGCCCACCAGCCATGTATGTTCTGCCAGAGCTACAGTCCAGCCTGTGCCTAGATGCTCTTTTTCCCCAGGACAGTGTGGGATTACACAGAAAGCAGATGCCAGGCTGGATAAATCGGTCTGGCAGTGGCTGCTGCTGTCTTCTCAAGATACCCTGTGGACACAGAGCATCATCTGCATTTGCTAGTTGCAGGAGGCACATCATTGCTGCTCTTCCCTTGAGGAATGGAGGAGTCAGAAGCCGACTGCTGCCTCAGCTAGCGTAGTTTGCCTGTCCTCAGCATATGTCCTGTGTCTGTTTCTAAGGCTGTGCTGGGAAGGAGTGCTGGAGAGAGCAGGCTGCATGCAGTGCATGAAAAGGGGCTTTTCCCAAAGTGCAGGAGCTGTTGGGTGTTTCAGAACCTATACAAATGCAGTGCATGTTTACTTTGCAGCATATCTGACATGCTGTCATCTTTGTGGAGCTTCACATTTGGTTAATACCAGGGATCTGTTGCACTGTTTTGTTTTCCAGACAGCAACGGCCTAGATGTGAGCTAGAGCTTATGCAATAGTTAGTGGGAACAATGTCCTTTGGTGGGATAACATGTTTTACAAGTGTGACCAATAAATGTCACACAGAGTTGCATTATAAGCACACCGGCTTTACCGTTACATTCAGAAGCATCTGCTAATTGTTTCTTAACTTTCTTCTAAACAGAATCTCAATCAAATCATTCTAATCAGTCTGACAGTGGAGTTTCTGACACCCAGCCAGCCGGACATGTCCGTTCCCAAAGTATTGTCAGCTCCATGTTCTCCGAGGCCTGGAAACGAGGCACTCAACTGGAGGAATCCAGCAAGGTAACAAGAAGACTTTAGTTTGAGAACCAACGCCCAGCAAAATGTACGAGGCAGATACCTCTTCCACTTCTGTCTTGAGTGGGATTTCTTCTCTTTTTTACTCTATGTTATTGACATACACTGCCATATAATTGTTTCTTCAGGAATCACTTTTTCAGGGAATTCAGCCCTGGACCCTTCTGTTCTTGCTTTTATTTGTGTGCACAGAAGCCCTCTGTTCTTTGAAGGCATGATACAGTCCTTCCCATAGAATCCTATTAACTAATGTTGAATAAAGACAAAATAAAAAGATCAGCTCTTAACAAGTTGAATGAAATTCTTTCACTAAGATCTTTCTCCAGTTAACTAGTCACATCTTTCCATTGTAAAGATGTGAATAACTGAGACCTGAAGGCAGGTATATCTATTTAAAAAGTACTCCAGTAGTTTTTACTCAAATGTTTTCTATTATATTCGGTGGAAATGGAAACAGTAACCATAGATATGGTCAAAGCAAAAGTACTAAAATTGACAGCAATTGTGGATTGAGGCAGGTTTGGTATCTCCTGTTCCTGGTAGAGAGTTACAAAAGATTTTAACCCACTGAAGCCTGGGGCTCAGGTCTGTTGTGGTTTGGTTAGTTTTCTGTCCTTTCTGCGGTAGTTGACTGGTGTGGTTCTTGGGGAATACTTCCAAACACGGCAGAATTGCCACTTAAGCGGGTTTGTTGTCAGGCTCAAAGGAATTTCCAGGTTCCTGAACAGCCATGACGTCAGTATTAACTGCAGCAATTACATATGAAAGTACATTGGCAGGATGCTATGAGAAGCTATCTTCACTCCTGCCAATTTTCAATCTTTCCTAGACCCTGGGTTCAAGCTAGAGAAGCAAGTATTTTAAAACTAAAACCATGGGTCACCGCACCTGACATTGGTGCATCAGATGAATAACTAAAAATAAGACACAACATCACATTTTCAAATAAGAAAGCACATGTGGCACAACGTGAAAACTGACATGGCTGCATTCTTTGGGATTCATAGCTGCTCTGCAGTGCCTGCTGGCTTGGAAATCGGCTGATTCTAATAGTACTGTAGTACTCAGCTCAGGAATTGTCATTTGCTAAATTGTCATCCAAATTTCTCTCCTGCATGAGTGCAACACCTGGTGCATGTTCATCAGCAGATGGCTTGTGTATGTGTACAGGGTGCATCGTCTCTGCAGGAGCGGGGTAGATGCAAAAGATAGGGCACTTGAGTCTGTCTAGCATGTATCTGACAGAGGTGAAAGAGTACTGCTGCGAGAAAGGTAATGGTGCTGTTTCCTGAAGTTTTGGCTTTGGTGTGAAAATCTTGCTGCTACACTCTCTGTGAGCTTTGAGAGAAAAGTCTGAAGTTTACCACAATGGGGTCACTGTTGTTCTTATGAAGTCCATAGTGCTGCTGGCAATTGCTTATTTAAATGAACCCCAAGAATTTTTATGTTATCTGATTAAAGCCATTTTAAAAATAAAACATTCAGACTTCTCCCTGTTGAGGGCCATCCATGTTTCAAGGTTTCATCGATTTGAATTTCTTTCTATGCACAAATCCAAGAAAAGGTATATTTCTCTTCCTCATGAGTAACACAGGTGAATGGATTGCCGTAAAACTTCCAAAGAATCCATATGAAATGAACCATGTAAAATTATAATTCAAAGCCATGTTAAAAAATTCTGAGTAAATTGGTGACAAATTTACCTTCAGTGAAACTACAGTACATGTTTTTTTATCCTGTACAGGTCTGGCCCAAGGAACTTAAATAACTAATAAATCAGACTGGCAGTGGAAAATGTTAAACTGTGTGGCAAGAAAGGAAATAACAGTGTTGAAAAAAATTGTAATTTACATGAAAAGGTAGTTGCAGTTGCAGTGATACTGAGACACGCTGGTTTAGGCAGATTAGTCTCCAAACAGTTATTTCAGAGGTAGTTATTCCACAGTGCTGTGGTGGCAAAGCTGGCTTCAGAAGTTCATACAGGCAGGTTGCTGCAAGTGGCAGAATTAACGGAGACTTGTCCAGCACATCCCTTCTCCTTCTGCAACAGCTCTCTCCCCCCTTGTCCCCCTTGTCTCACCCCCCTCAGCAAGCAGGGCAGAACAGAGCACGCTTTGGCTCAGCAGGGAGATGACATTGAGGCTGGCCAGCCAGGCAGGATGTTGTACTGGTCGGCCAGTGGCTAACTGCTCAACAAGTTAAAAATGGGTGAGTTCTGCTTGCTTTTCCCTCATCTACCAGGTGCCAGTAACTTCACAACAATTTCTTGAAGTTGAAAATACATTGAGATTTCTAGCGATCTGTCATATTTGACTGAAATTTGCTAACCAATCCAAAAGCAACTGGCATAGGAAAAGAGATGGCAAACAGTTCAATTGCAAAAGCTTGCTTTCTTAGGAAAAACAGCTAAAAAAAAAGCACAGCTGTTATTTTAAAAATAGGTACTATTCTTTTTATAGCATTTCTGAGAGTTCCAGGTAGTCATGAAGATGCATGTTATAAATATGAATTGATAGTATGCAATAAGAAATTTTTCAAGATACACAGGGACGAAAAAGGCCAATGGTCTGCTTCAAGGTTCCTTCTATAAACAAAGTATCACTGAATGTGTTTCTGGTTGTGGAAATTTAATTTGATTCTGTGGCGATGGGAGGGGCTCCCCCTCCCGAGATGCACAGTATTCTTTTCCCTGTCCTGAGTGCTTAATTTGCTCACTGTGAAAACGACTGTCAGTGGATATGAGGAAAATTCCTCTCTGTTTCAAATGTATCTAAGATTAAAACCCCCACCTTTCCCAAAATGCAGGTGATCTGTCCACTTCATATTTTGAAAGATTGCTGTTTGCCCAAAGAATACTTTATTCATCTGTTCACATTCTTCACAGTTGGGCAGTGAAGATCTCATTATGTCTCATTTTGCTTGTTAGATTTTGAACACGTTATTTCGCATGGGGTGCTACAACAGGCATCAAAATGTGTGCTCACTGTGTGTGCTTTAAGTGACAAATTCAAGATTCTCCAAGGTCTTGCCGTTCAGGGATAGCTGTTCTGTTATGCCTTGGTCTCCCTCTCTGTCTGTTTTATGCCGCTTTTATTTTTCCTGTTGCCTTTTGCTGTCTCAGGTGTCAAAAGTGAAGCTCAGCACAGCTAAGGTCAGCACACCCGTGGTGCCTTATACAGGGCACAATTAAGGTCAGGTGGTGCTACTTGAAAATTCATTAACCTGGGTGATTGGGAGAATGGTAATTTACAGACTAACACTTGCAAGACATCAAGATTTCTCTCCTGTTTTGTTATGCGAACACTTTGATTTAGCTTCAGAACTTTGTTATACTCTTGCCTTCCAGACCTGGTGTGACAGGTAGAGGCACACCCCATGTGTGTTGTAAATCACTGTTTGTTGTTTCTGACTCTTAATCCTTTTGGTGTTCTTTTGTGCATACAGGAACTCTGTGCACCTGTGTTTAGAACAGAGCAATATGCAAACCTGCTCATACAGTGCAAATGAGCATAATTGGGCTAACTTGTGGCAAAGTATCTACTAATGAAGTATAGGTGCCCAGTGTGGTCAGTTGCCATGTTGGTATTGCATTTCTGATGCATGTTTCTATGCTGTGCACTGTGAAATTCACAACTTGGCTTGTAGCCAAACCACTTTGTATTAGGGGGATGTTTATAAACTGGAGTAATGCAATTATCTTTTTAATTTTTAACAGGAATGTAGGCCTACAATTTTAGAGAAACAATTTCAGTTGAGCAAAACCCAATGAGGAGACTAAAACTGTGCCTGCTGCTTTCCCATTTCTCCTTCCCTTAGTCAGTTTTACCCTGTCTTTCCTTTCTTTTTCTGCTTAACGTAATGGTTGCATGTATAGCTTTTCATTCCCAAGCTAACTTTCTTTTGCAGAGCTGTAAACATTTCCTTCTTGGGGACGTTTTCCTAGGAAACCTCAGTTTTCCCTCTTTTTCCTTATTTTTTTCCTTGCCAGTCTTGGGTATCTGAGCATGTGGAGTGGAAGAATCTCAATAGTATTCCTGCGTAAAGCTTGCTCATCACATGTTTTAGAGCAGTTCAGGATTTGTGCGTTTTGTAACGCTGAACAGTGTCAGGCCTGAGCTAACCAACGTAAAGGCGTGACAGATGCTCTGGGAGGCCACGTGTGTTTAACTCTAGTCTTACTGAGCTGAGGAGATGTCCGCGGAGTCTTGCTCTGCCTGATGGCCTCTGTCGCGGCCTGTGGTGCTCTGGGGAGTGCTCTGTGTGGGTCGTTGTACTTGCCCAGAGGAGGACCAGCCGTTCTCACTGGGTACAGCTGCCTGCCCCCAGAAGTGTCAAGGTGTATTTTCTCCCTGACAACATTCCGCCTAGCCTGGAGTAGGCCTGGCTCAACTGGTTCTTGCCAGCTCCCCTCCCTGCCTGCCCAGTCAGACTGCACGGTCCAGGCTTATCCGCGTATGGAATTGTCTCTTGCTGCATTGTTTTGCTAATACTTCCTGCATGCTGTAATCTGCCACTTAGTTTTTAATGACAGGCACATTTAGACCTTGACTTTATAATCTCTTTGTTTCCCTCCCTCCCTCTCTCTCTGTCTCTTTCCTTTTCTCCCTTTCCACTTTCACTAAAAATCCCTTCCCAATAGGCCCGAATGGAGCCTGCAGGTCGGCCCTTCATGTCTGTCGCACCTCCTGTGTCCCCACAGACAAAAGTGGCGACCCCCTACACAGCATCGCAGCCGTCCCCCCCACTGCCCC